GAAGCCAAGACTACAAAGTTCCCAACTCACTGTTTTCATCTCCAACCTTAAAACTCGTGGCTCATTTATGGCCATGGTGTTCAGGCTGTTGAAACATGTTACCATAGTCTTAACGTTAAATACAATAAAATGTTTATTTCCCTTGTTTCCCTAACTCTGAAAGTAGCTAATTATTAGTGCAGATAAGTAACATTTCCATTCTGCGGAAAGTTTTATTGGATAGAGCTGGAGGATTCTTGTCCTAGCTCATGATAAAATATTTAGGGGACTATTTCCACATGGAAAATCCTCATAAATAAGTGAAATGTTGAAAGTGTATTTATCTATATATCTTTTTTTTTCGTGTCCTTGTGTTCTAGCTGTGCACTGAGGGCAGGAGTTCCCAGATGGCTCTCAGAAAGCCTCCATCAGCTTGCTGTAAACTCCAGCCACATCCCCAAACCCCCGCCCCTGCCTCCTAGCTTCAGCCACATAAGCCCTCTGCTTATGTCTGTTTTACAAATTCGGGTTTCCTGGTAGCACATCTTGTGCACAAATGGTTGCTTCTCCTAAATGATTAGCAACCTGCTCTGGTCGATTTAGAGAGTCTGGACTGGCTTGGGAGGTTAATAAAAAGAAGTCACTATTTTGGGACTTCCTCCTTACAACACCATCCCCCTAACTTAATGGAGCTATGTACCGTTTCTAAGACGTCTAGAATTGAGAGCATGGTGTTGTTAGATAAGACAAAAGCAAAATGATAAACAATGAGATATAAAAAATGATATCTAGTTTGCTGGTGACAGCAGGGCTTTCTTGTTTATTTTTAAGTTCTATGGACATTTTTTAAATGAAAAATTCTTTCCTTTTCTCTGTGTTTTCAGAATGATTTGATTCTTTAACTCCCTTCTGCAGTGACCTATGTAATTTTTAAAAATTATTTTTGAAATGATGAACTCACAGATTTTAGTAGGATGTGTTTCAGTTAATTGCAGTTTTTCTTCTGGCTGCCAGATCTTCCTCCATTTAGCTGATGGGAGCCTCACCACCTTGGCTCCCTTTTTTGGATATGACCTAGTAGTTCCCAAAAATCTCATTGCTTCCTGGTAGGACAAGATGTTGCACATTCATTTTGCATATTTCTTACAAAAAACTGACAATCATTCATTTTGTCAGTTTTGTCAGGATTCTAATTTTAAAGAAAGAAAAGTTCCATTTTGCCTTTTTTCTGTTATATTAACACAATCTACAGAAACACATACTACAATTCAGGAAGATGGCAAAAATCCTTCAGCATGAATATTAGTTTGAATATGAATATACTTATTACAGGAAAGGGTAACAATATTAAACTGAAGATAAGGAGTTGGGTAGATGGCAACGTATGTTATCACTTGAAACTGATTTATTGAGGCTTTTAGGCAAGTGTACCTTTTGTTAATTCCGTTTCAAATTATATTGTGCACCCTGGCCCTCTGAACTGTTAGCCATGCAATGTACCGAAACACAAAAGTAGATGTTTGGCTAATTGAAAAATCAACAAAATTATTGTTCCTCAAAAGGATCTTTGTTCTGTGAGCAATAAGAAACCAGAGAGTTTTAAATATCTACCTATCAATCAATGTATGTATGTATGTATGTATGTATGTGTGTGTGTATGTATGTATGTATGTACATATCTATCTATGTATATATAATATATTTTTTCATTTTATTTAAACGTACATGCATGGCTCAGTTTTATTTGCATGTCCCAGTGAAGGAAAAGCACAAAGAGCAAGGCATGTAAAAATCAGAATTAGGCTCTGCTGAGGCCTATTGGACACACGAATGATAATGTATGATGTAAGCTAAACCACGGTACTTTGAATATCCCTCAACTCCTTTTCCTGCTTTTTTCATTGCAAAGTGCTTGGTGACTCTTTCTCTAGGCTAATGGAAACTACCTGTAATATTCACTCATCCTTGTTATTTTCACTGTCAGTGTTTCCTTTAAAAATCCATTTCCCATTTTCGTTCTAAAATTTAAATTCCACATTACTGATACGCAAGCCAGCATTTCCTTTTTGGCAAAGTTTCCAAGTAATAAACAAGATATGGAGTGGAGATTAGCTGGAATGAACCTCTCACATAGGTTTTATCTTCACTCCTCTGATCTCTTTTTGTCGAATCCAGGCCAAGGACATAGCCCATTTAAGTACAAACATGTATGTTCTTCAGCTGCATTCATTCCTGGATCCTAGCAGTGTTATAAGTCCATAGGTAACATTTTTAGGCTCATTTGGAAGAATTTAGTCTTCTTATGCCACTTAGTTGGGCAGAGGAAAAAGCCCAGTCACTTCTTCCCTGAGAGAGCATTTCATACATCTCCATCTCTGTGATCGCACCGAGTCATTATGTAGCAGTTGGCTCTGATACGCTTGCACAGACACAAATTGAGTCCGACAGGACTGATGTCTCCTGGACTTTGCTGTCATTTGAAATGCTGGCATGAGAATGGGAACAGAGAAAGGGGGAGGGGAAGAGAGATGGTTCTTTTAGCACTTTTCCTATAAAGTTTGGAGAATTTTAGCATTTGATAGCCGTGAACTGCCTGATAAGTTGTTTTCCAGATGAGATTGATAACAGTAGCAGATTTGGAACAGCTGGCTAGTTTTTGGTTTCAAGTAGATGTGTTTCAAAGTATAACTTACCATTTCATGCCACCCTCAAATCTGTTAAAAATAAGAAGGGCTATCTAGTGGATTGGTAATTAGAATGACCCCCCACACACACACACGATTTCTTTTAGTTTTCTCTTTCCTGCATTGAAACCATTCATGCATAGTAATGAACAAGATAAGATTTTTTTAAAAAAATTTTTATTCTCAGTCTCAAGCTCAGTTTCAGAAAAGACAGACTATAGTATCTGCACTACAATACTTTCTAAAGTACAAGTCATTTTAGTGGATTAGGTTATTTCTGGATAACTTTAGAATTTCCTGTCAAGGATTTTGAATGTGTTTCAAACATTCCAATATACAAAACATAAGGGTATACTATTTCATGAAGCCAACACATTTTGATTGTCATGCTCAAGTTCTTATAATGATAGAGGGAGCAATAGCCTTCATTACTCTCTCAGTATTGATAGCCTACCCTGTATAAGATGCTGTGCTTGGGGCGCCTAGGTGGCTCGGTTGGTTAAGCGTCCAACTCTTGATTTCAGCTCAAGTTATGATCTCACGTTTATGGAGATTGAGTCCCACACTAACAGTGTAGAGCCTACTTGGGATTCTCTTTCTCCCTCCCTCTCTGCCCCTCTCCTGCTCTCTCTCATGCTCTCTCTCTCTCTCTCTCAAATAAATAAACTTAAAATTTGTTTTTTAAAAAACAAGCAAACAAAAACCACTTAAAGATGTTGTGCTAGATTTGTTGAAGGTTCCTATAGGAACACTTATTTATCACCTGAAGATTCATATTTCAAATTATTGCTTGGACCCAATCATCACCTTCCCTTCTTTTCAGTTCCTGCCAGGACCTGAACCATTTTCTTTTGCCTCCTCTTCTTCTGATTTCCTAATGAAGCGTAACTCCAGGCCAGTGGTTTCAATGTCATCCCTGTACATCAGTTGCATCAGCCTCACACAGGAACTTGTTAGAAATGTAACAAGTTTCTGGAACCCCATTACAGACCTAGTGAACCACAAACTCTGGGGGCAGTGCCTAGCTATTCATTTTTTTTAATGTTTTATTTATTTCTGAGAGAGAGAGACCGCGTGAATAGGGGAGGGTCAGAGAGAGAGGGAGATACAGAATCCGAAACAGCCTCCAGGCTCTGAGCTGTCTGTCAGCACAGAGCCCGATGCGGGGCTCGAACCCACCAACCGTGAGATGATGACCTGAGCCGAAGCCGGATGCTTAACCGACTGAGCCACCCAGGTGCCCCGTAGCTATTCGTTTTAACAGGTTTTCCAGGAAGTTCTGATGCATATAGATATTTGGGAAGCCCTACTCCAGCCAAACTGGTAGACTCCTCTTTTCCAAAGGTTCTTTCCCACTGCCCTGCCTTTAATAGAATTCCTGGAATGCTTTTCCTCTTTTTAGTTAAATCCTGCCTACAATCCTAGGCCCCCTTTGAGATACCACTTTATCTATGATACCATTCCAGATCCTGGCTTTTATGGCATTATTTGGTTTTCTTTTCTTACACTCATCTTCCTTTTCCTTTCTTACACTTTTCTTCCTAACTTACAGTAGTCATCAAATGTGAGAATCTTATTTTCTCTACTGAGCTGGAAAGTCACAGAGGATGGAATTTGACTCACTTTTTGTGCTCCATGGCCCTTTATACTAAGTACACTTGCACACAGTAGGCTCTCTAAAAGCAGTTTGCAGCTTATTGATTTTACATAGAAGATTGGGAAAGCAAAGCTATTGCCTAGGAGACATACACAAATCCTGTTAAATCAAATAGGCTCATGCTAACTATTGTTTTGACTTATTGAAGTCAGACTAGACTTGAATGTTGATGTGTCTTCAGGGAAGAAGCCAAACGTGCCAGTGTAAAAAATTCTAACCTCTCCTATTTAGCTGGAGAAGTTGAATTAGCCCTGTCACTTCACCCTGTGCCAAGAAAGCAGCTTCCATTATTCTGTCAATAATAGACTTTTATCCGGCACGTTGGAGCTTCCCTTAAACCTGTATCATGGCATTGCTGTGTTTTCTTCCACTGATGCATTCATGTAGTTTTTCATGAGAAGTGAGATCCTTCTCACACAGCGTTGCCCAAAGGGTGGCATAAGCAGAGAGTGCAATTCAAGGTGGTTGGCTTTAGGATAGCCTGACAATGGGCACAAGATGTGCCAGGGCATTTTACAAACCAAGTTATTTTCCTTGTAATACAAAGGCATCATGGTTGCAATGTCTTGGGTGTTTACAATGGATCGAGTTTCATGGTGTTTGTGGTGGAACAAGGGAAAAAGAGTAAGAAATCTAAACATCCTGTGTTTCCTTTCTTTTCTTTTCCTCTCCCCTTACAGGCTCTGAAAGTGTTCCAGCTGAAATTTCAGATCAGACAGACTCGCTGCAGCTTCCGAGGCAGTGATTCCCACCTGACAGCGCACGCCGCTGCCAAGCTGCAGGATGGTGCACGTAGCCAGGCTGCTGTTGCTGCTCCTCGCTTTCTTCCTCCATGCGGATGCTGAGAGTAAGCCATTCTCCCTTCTCCACGGGGCTGTGACCATAATGATTGGTTTTGTTGGCAGCTGGCACCGGGCTCAGGGCCTCTGAATACGTTTCCTTTGGAAGTAAATCCTGAGACACTGTGGGATCCTCCTTGGCTACCAGCCAGCCTTTGAAAGAGATTATTGACATGACTTCCTTACCATTTCCTCTCTCTCTTAATGCTCCTTTTCTTGTGCATCTAACTGCTCCTACTGTTTTGTCTTCTTCTTTTTTTTTTTGATACTCTCACCAACCCTGGTGGCAAAGATACTATGATACCAATGACATAACTCAAACGGAGTTTAACCAGTTGGTGGTGCCAATAAGCAAATGCCGTTCAGACCCATTAAAATTTCTTTACTTTTGTGGAACTTTCTATGTTTAGAAAAATGCAAAATGTCACATTGAGCCCAATTAAACTTCCAAACCCCTTGTAGCTGTCATAGCAGCTGTTCTAATGTACTGTTTCCGACAGCTGTCGTCGAGTACAGTATTCAAACAAATCAAGCAGAACTGACAACTTTGTGGCTGGGTGAAGAGTGTGGAAGTGTGAGGAGAATTCTGTGGAGTACAGACACCAAAGTTTGGTTTATTGGGCTCAATTTATGAAACTGAGATTGTGGTCAATTAGCTTGCCAATTAATGAGAAGATCATATCTCCTTCATAATTAAGAAATCATTAGGTCTACCTTGTTTACATATGTTTCTTTTACCATCTGGCCTAGGGTCTTTTGGAAGAGATAGTACTGGAAAAAGGCATGTCTCTGGCTTGGGCTCACTGACACGTCTGGTTTTTTGGGACTGGTATGGTCATGCAAGACTTGGCCATTCTCTTTGGGAGCCCCCTGGTGCTATGAAAATGTATGCAGTTAACTTTTCCCACTGCTGACTATTTTGGTGAGATAGATGAAATCTGATTCATGTTGAGGATGTTTCCAAGACAAGGATCCTCTGTCTTGTTGGCCCCTACCTATTAATTGAATTTTGACAAAAATTTCCTCAATAGCAGCCAATTTCTTTGTTTAAATAGGGGCTCTATTTTCTAAAGAGAATGTTCCAGGACTGAAAGGAGTCATGTTAATAACAGGATACATATGGAACACGCATGTTTTAAGCACATTCTTTGGTTAATAATGTATATAGTCTCCTAATTAGTACTTGGGAGTGTTGGTTTAAGGTGAAGCCAAGGAATGTTTAGGACAATGCCAGCAAATAATTAACTGGGAAAAGACCCAAATGAAAGATGCTCTTGTTTTTTTAAAACCATTTATGTCAGAGTCTATTTTAAAATTGTAATCTAAATTTAGTTTAATAAAGAAATCAGGCATATGGCTTTATTTTTCTGTTTTGGCTAGAATGAAAGAGTACGTTGTTTTACAATTGTTAATTTTTGGCAAAAGCATATCAGCACTCTGGGAATCCACTTTAATTTCATATCTCAGTTAGAGATTTTCATAAAGTTATTAGAGATAATTGTCATCTATCCACAGAGTTATCCTTCCAGATAAGTAGAAATGTTCTTTTACTGAGCAGCTATACTTTTGCTTAAATCTCTGGTGGAAAGTGGCAGATAGATGTCAAGTATTCTTAAAATTATGTTAGAGTGGGGGCTCCAGGGTGGCTCAGTTGGTTGAGTGTCCAACTTCGTCTCAGGTCACAATCTCACAGTTCGTGGGTTCAAGCCCTGTGTTGGGCTCTGTGCTGACAGCTAACTCAGAGCCTGGAGCCTGTTTTAGATTCTGTATCTCCCCCTCTCTCTGACCCTCCCCTGCTCACGCTGTCTCTCTCTCTTTCTCTCAAAAATAAACAAAACATTAAAAAAATTCTTATTAAAAATTACGTTAGAGTGGGAGCAGGAGAGGGGCAGAGAGAGAGGGAGACAGAGAATGCCAAGCAGGCTCTGCACCATCAGCACAGAGCCTGATGCGGGGCTTGATCTCCAGAACAGTGAGATCATGACTTGAACCGAAATCAGGAGTCAGATGCCTAACCAACTGAGCCATCCAGGCATCCCTTAAAACAGTGTTTTAAAATACAATCTACAGTCCAGATGATCATCACCTACTCCTTACCCTCCTCCTCCCCTTCTCCCTCTGCACCCCCCTTCACTGTACCTCCTCTACAGCAGCTTTGCAAAAGGAAAGCAAATCCACATTAGCCCCTTTTCGTTAAATTAAGATATTTCCCAGGTTGTATGTTTATATGATATCAGCTTTCAACCTCAAGACGTAACCTGAAAAAAAAAATACATTCTCTCTCACTCCCCCCATTGCAACTAAAGAAACTTTGTCAAATTAATTTGTTAGTTTTTTTTTCCTTGTCTACTCAGCTTTAATTTAATACCTCTTCCCTTTAGCAGATTCATTTGGTGCTGTTGAATAGAATAGTGTAACCTGAGAGTTTCTGGTGAAAGAGAAAGAATTGGCTGTATTTTTTGAGGTACCTTTAGAAAGAAGAAAGAGCATCCCTCATTAATCTATTGGAGGATATTTGTAATACAGGAAAGCATATGGTAGAGCTGGAGATAAGACTTTAGTCACTGAAGGATGTTCAGACAATCAGGAAAGTTCGATCTGGATTATAACCTATTAATTTTTAAATGTTTATTTGTTTTTGAGAGAGACAAGAGTGTGAGCAGGGGAGGGACAAGGAGAGAAGGAGACACAGATTCTGAATCAGGCTCCAGGCTCTGAGCTCTCAGCACAGAACCAGATGGCGGGCTCAAACCCATGAATTGTGAGACCGTGACCTCAGCCAAAGTTGGACACTTAACCGACTGAGCCATTTAGGTGCCCCTGGATTATAACTTACTAAATTGGGCCATTATCTTCTCATAAAACACTGAAAAAACCCAGACATAACGAGCACTGGAGAAAAATTAGATTTTTCCATCATCATCTAAATACAATACTTCTCAGGCTTCCAGCACCTGGGTTACTGGTTTGTTACCCTCTGCTTTCATTAGCACCTTTAGTCATATTTTCTTTTTCTTTTACCTAACTGTATTTTGTATTTATACAAGGAATCGAGAGTTATATTTCAAAATTTAATAGTAGCTTATCAGAGCCATTTGAGAACTAGGAAATAATTTTTAAAAATGTGTTCTCCCATTTGAGAAAGAGGCCTGTATGGGGGTGGGGAATGGAAAGAGGCCACTCTAGTTTACCATGATAATTTAATGTGTTCTGCTCACTGCCTTTTGAAATGATTAACCCCAAAGAGACAAGGAGTCAGGATTTTCATCTGCTGTGTGGAACATTATAGTAAGTGCTAGGTGTGATGTTGCATTAAGTAGGAGAGCTCTTATGAGCCTTGGTTCAAATCCAGGTTGAAAAATTGTGATAATATCTCTTTAGCAGAAAATTATAGTCTTTGCCATTGCCAATTTAAAATGCCCCACAGATCCCCACTATTATTTTAAAAGGCTAGATATGTGCATGAATCTTATTTCTTTTCATCCTTAGGTCTTGAGTGCTTGAAATGGTTTTGCTTGTTGTTTTTTGAGTGTGTGTACTTATGGTAGAGTGGTAGTCTCAGTGTGACTCGTGTTTGAGCATTAACGTTAGTCCTTCCTCATGTCAGGCCGGCCAGGTTTCTGGTTTAAGTGGTGGTCTGGTTGACATTCATTCTGGTTTAGGCAGTGGTCTAATTGAAGTCAAATTTTGGTTCAAATGTGGTCTGATTGAGGTCAATTCAGTGATAACTTGCATGCAAATTAAAGGTATATTTATATTAGTGTAGTCCTGGGGTGGGTATTTTACTTTTGGCTGAGTTTCCATAGTAATTTGGGGTAGTTTTATTTCATGTGTAGCTTTAGTTTTCTATTTACTAGTCATTTTCTGTTTTTTTTGTTTTTTTTTTTAAACTAAATGCAGGCTATAAACCTGCATTTAGCACCTTCTTTCACCAAATTGGTTTCATATTAATGAAATCACTTACTGCCTAGTATTGCAGTCTAGATCTGAGTTTCTACTTTGACAACTATAATTTGATGTGGATGTTTATTGGATCTTCATTAGAAACACAACTTTTGATAGTTTAATTTCTCAGATGGCTTAGTTCACCCATTTGCTGTTGCTTTTCACATTTTTCCATATCAGATGGTGAGTACATCCTCATTTTCCTCCCTTATTGTAGGGAAGCTTCCTTTAGTCCCTGTCTATCCACTATGTTTGTGTCTTACGTGAACACAATTATTTTTTCCCCTCTTTTGTAGTGTATCACTATATCTAGTGAAACTTCTTTATTTTTTTTGCATTGTTAAGAAAGTGAGCTCTAAAGACAGACTCTGGTTTTAAAGTTCTGGCTGTCATTTGTAACCTGGAGCATGATACAACATGCTCTTTGCCTCAATTTCCCTAAATTTAAGATGTGACTGATGGTGATGATGATAATGATGATGATGACTGTATAATAGAGAACCTACCCCTGGGTTTGTGAACATTGAATGAGTTAATGTAGAACACAGATCAGCACATCATAGGTTTTTAATAAACACTGGCTGTTATTATGTCATAATTTCAAAAATAAGTAGCCAATATTTTTATTGAGCAGTTGTGTAAAGTATTATGCTAAAATACTTTTTATTTGACCTATAGATTATCAAGATTTTGGTGTGTGATAAACCACGTTTTCTTGCTGCAAATTAAAAGTCCTAGCTTGCTTCTTTATAAAGTTCTATACATAAGAGATTCTTAAAACTCTTGTCCTATGAATTAAACTGAATATTAAGGGGGAAAATGATAAAGCATATTGAGTCAAGCTACTCAAACTTAAAAAAAACAAACCTCCACTCTTAAAATTATGGACTTAAATTTGCCTTGGGTCAAATGGAAAGTGTTCCACCCTTCTGTTCTGTTGCTTTTTATAATGCATTCTTTTTTGAGCTGCTCAGAGAGAGGAGCTATAGATATTTACTGTAGGCAAATAGTATAGTATATGGGCCATTGGACCAGAAAACTGGAGGTTGAGGTGAGCATGGTG